AAAAAAAAACCTAAGTACTTACAAGAACTACAAGTGATACATAGCAGAGCATAATTTAGATGGGGAAGATGAAGGCCAACCACATAACTCAGAGGACTAAAGTGCCTGCTTAGGCAGACACAGCGGCCAGGATTCGATCCCCGGTGTGCCATGCCAGCCCTGCCCACAGAGTGCACTGAGACGGCAACTGAGACTGGGCGTGGTGGCGCGCACCTGTAATCCCAGTGCTTGGGAGGCTGAACACACAGGAATCACTACAAGTCCAATCTATGTAGTGAGACCCTGAGACCCTGTAGACCCTGTGCTAAATACAAATAAAATAGATGAGGAAGATGAAACAGGCATCTTCTACTGCTACAACAATGAAGTATTGTTCCTTGAGGGAAAGAGTAAGTATTTACATAGCAATACCCTCGTTGTGATTGGTCAGGTATCCTTTGCATGTTCCCAGGTTTTCTGGGGAGCTAACCTATCCCAAAACCCAAGTGTTGCTCAAAGGAAGGAAGGAGGGCCAGGCATCTGCAGAAAGCAAGGGACGTAGCTGCAGTAAAAGATGAAAGGTTGTGAGCTGAGAGGTACAGAGAAAGGCGAGAAATTTACTAAGCTTGACAAGTAGCTAGCAGAAAGAAGGCGAAGTCCACTCAGATGAAAGCAGTGTAGTTTTGTTTTGTTTGAGACAAGTTCTTACTAAGGTGCCCATATTGGCCTCATGTCTGGCAATCCTGCCTCAGCCTCCCAAGTAGCTGGGTTACAGATGTGCGCCTGGCTCTAGCGCTATTGGTCAGGCCCTCCCAGCCTGACTTTCCTTCTACTTCTCCTTTCCCTCCTCTCTCCCTTTCATTTCCTCCTTCCTTTGCAGACATAGGCAGCCATGAGCTCCAACCAACCTATCCCTTGGAGGCTGCCTGCCCGCCACAATCCGTCTTGGATTTTGTCAACGGGCGTGGAGTGGTGTCGTGGTCTCCAGGTGGCATCCATCCCAGCTGGCTCCCAGTGTGTTGTGGGCACCTGCTCCCCAGGGCTCTGCTCCAGGAGTGCCTGGGTCTTCGCTCAGGCTGCGCTCCAGCTAGAATGACCTGCCGCCCTGCACCTGGAAGTCTCTGCCACCTGCTTTGGGCACCCAGCTAGCCCCGCTCCCCTCACTGCATTACAGCAGGTGCGACTAGCAGAAGACAACGCATGTTTGCTGACCAGATCAACACCATCTTAGGTCAACAGAGCAAGGCTGTCACTCTGGCAGCTCTTCCATCCTCTGCACCCCACAAGAATCTCACTGGCTCCCTGTCCCCCCAGAAGCAGCACACAGGACTCAGCAAGGGCCCTGGCACTCTGGAGCTATCGCCAACCTCAGCCTGACACCGACCACTCTCCACTCTGGACTTGGTGCTCCAGAACACGCATCTCCCTGAACCTCTCAGCACACAGGCCCCTCCCGCTCCTCTCCGCCTGCGTCTGCTGCCTGGTCTGCCTGGGATTCTCTCTAGTCATTTCACTGGGGCCGGATGCCATCTTCCCAGTGATACCAGCTCTGACCTCGTTGCTGGCCTCCGAGGACCCAACCAGTACCAGGAAGGCCCTATCCACACATCACACAATCACCCTGGAAGGAAATGACTCCTATTATACCTATGTTGTGGCAAATTTGAGGTACACACTGGTCTCACATTTTTCTGGAGCAGGAGCAGGCAAATCTCTGCCACACCAGACAGTATTTTGGAGTCACTGGGTCCTTCCATCTCCATCACAGTACTCGGCCCTCACTGTGGTGCAAAAACAATCACAGCAAGCGTGTGGCTACATTCTTGTGAAAGTTAATTGCACAAACCAGGCGGCCAGCCTCCTTCGGGACAGAGTTTGCTCACCCTGGTTCTAGAAACTTAACCAAGGTTCACCAAGTTAGAGTGAATCTGCTAACGTGAGAAACAGAAACCCAACCTCTATCCTCAAATTATTCCCTTATCTCGTGCCTGAGTTGTGAGTAGTCTTGGACTTGAAGGAATTACTCTGCAGACAAATCCACAGTTGATACTCAACAGCTGGTTAGGAGACAGGACTTAGGGAGACAGGAGTTAGGATTCTATTAGGCAAGTGGACAGCGGTCTCAAAATGGAATTGAGGAGCCCCAAAACATCTACCAGGTCCTCTGGCTGTTGGAGACCTCCTGATGGTGACCAGGCAACCACTGGCTCAAGGGCACCCTGCAAGGCACGGCATGACACTGCCCAGACTGGACCTAGGAGGCATCTCCTGTGGGGCAGAGAACATACAGCGCGTGCAGTGTTGGGGCCGGATGCCATCTTCTCAGTGACTCCAGCTCTGACCTCATCGCTGGCCACTCAAGTTCTCATGGCTCCGTGGACCCTTCCAATACCAGGAAGGCCCTATCTACACATCACACAATCACCCTGGAAGGGTGATTTAGGAAGGGCTCCCTTCCAAACCCCTTAAAAGCCTCTGGAGAGAAAGGCTCTGTGAGTCTTCTCAGGGCCCTCCCTGCTGGTGGGAGCATTCCTTCCTAGCCTTTCTATCTTGCCAGTACACCTGCTTGCCTCCTGCATCCATGGTTTCCTTCTTCACCACCGTGGGACATAGCCCTGGTTTCAGTTAGAGAAATGAACTGAATGGGATGGAAATGGGGCCCTAACAACGATGTCTGTGCTGAGCTCCCCTGCAACTTCACTCTAAAAAAGCAATTAATGTTCACTACATGTTCTTGTCCCAAGTACTGACCTCCTGCAAACAGACAAGCTCTGTTTCTAAGAGGAATATCCACTCTGAGGTCCCTACTGTGCCTCCCACATGTACCAGCTTTCATCTTGGTTTCTGATGTTACTGGTTATAAAAACACTGCTGAAATCAAATCAAAAGAAGCTTCCTGCAACAGTGGGACCTGGTGCTCACACCAAGCATCGAGCTGTTGAGGGGTTCCCCTGCACTGGGCCATGGCACTGGTCAGCACTGCTCTGACCTTGACATTCTTAGCATAGGAAATATTATAACCAGAAAGATGGGTGGGGGGAAGTTTACTGAGCTGTGGACCTCCGAGGGCTTGGGGTCATGTCCTAGGCACCTTCACACAGACAGAGTGACTGGCATGTACCAAGGCGCGTGAATGGGTGACTTTGTGAGGCTGTGCACCACGGCACCTAAGTTGATTATTACAGCATTCTCCAACTTCCCTCAGCTCATCTTGAAGATTAGTAGCACCCACGGGAGTTCGCAAAGCTTCTGGGTGAAGTGTGGAGAAACCCGGGCCCTCCTTTATGCAGGAGACTTACCATCCTGGGTGTTGGGACTTAGGATCCGGGTCCGCAACTCCTCCTGGCTAATTCCCAGGCACCTGCAGACCTCCTCGGGGCTGTAGGGCTCAGGGTGAAGGATGTCCTCCGCGACCAAGAGCATCTCATCCAGGCTGATTCCCAGCTGGGCCTGCACCTCCTCCAGCCGCAGGACTTGATCCCACTGCAAGCCTTTGTGCCTGGCCAGGAGCTGCACGTTGAAACCAAGACAATAGTCAGTTTCCATTTCAGCATCTGATGTGTGCGATTTTAATTAGCCATATTTGACTTTTAGCTCTTTGGTCAGTTTCTTTTGTTTTGTTTTTTTCCACTGAACCTATCCAAATTTCCCACCGTTGCTTGGCAATGCCAACTTGGTTCAGATGTTTGAAATTAAGCTTGCCAACATGCGCATATGACACTCAGGCTAGTTAAGTACTAGTACTAAAACGCACTCACACACTCAACTCGTTTTGATTAGTTGATTTTTCTTCCTGACAACATTTTCCCTCAGGGCCATTTCTTTGAATCATTTCATACTGTTGTCCCCGCTCAGTCCATCCTTGCTACACCCTTCTGTATCAAGCCTGCAGAAAACCCCTTGACTCTCATGTGACCTGGATCCCAACTTCATTAGAGCACTTCCTGTTTACTACTTGCCTCTTTGAAAATGGCTAATGAGTTTAAGTATTCGGTGTTTGGAGTAAACTCCCAGATTTTACTTGAAACCTTCACTGGTGACCTTATGAAAAATCTCTTTATTAGGTCGCCAATAGTAGTAGAGCTGTGATGCTTCTCCACCCCAGCTTGTCCAAGGCAGCCCTGCAAGCAGGACAAGGCAGTCACCAGCTCCCTTCGAGAGCTCCCAGCCCACAGTACACATCTCCCCTTCGCCCCAACCACTGGCAACCCTCTGTGCAGGTAACAAAACAGTAAGGATTTCTTTGGTCAGGGTCTAAACCATTCATCGCGTGGGTATGAGGACAGCAGGTGCAGGGGGAGGCAGGAGACTAGGAAATCCACCTTCCAGGCAATGTGCGTCTGATTTGCTGACACTAGGCTAATGGTTTAAATTTCTTTCTCTTCTACAGGAAGCAGGATTTACCAAAGGCCATGAAGATTTAGTTAATAAATCTTCTGAAGAATGTTAATAACAGAAGTTCTCATATTCATTAATCATCTTTTTAAAAGCCCTGGCTCATACATTTGAAAGGAGTTAATGATTTTAATGCAGAACTAAGAAAAGAATAATAGAATTAGAATTTTCTATTCAATTATTTCACAGAACATGGGGCCACTTTTAAAAGCAAGGACATGAGCTAAGACTTTTCTTCTGGCCTTGTTTGCTTAGCACAGTTAATGTTGATTAGCAGTGCTGGGTTGATAGCTCTAAACTGATCCATTCATTCATTACTGAGTTCTTTCATTCATGGTCTATATGCCAATGTATCCAACAATAATTTGAGAAAACTTATAAAGACATACATAATATAAAACTAACAAAGAAATATGATATATTTATTTTATAGGGAAAGAGAACTAAACTCAGTAACCGGCAGTAACACTTTCTGGTACAGCATATCCAGAATGTAACAACAATAATAACATTGCTGGGTGGTTAAAAGTACACTTGGAGGGGCCAGTGAGATAGCTCAGCGGACTAAGAGCCTGCTTTGGCAAGTGCAGGGACCGGGGTCCGATCCCTAGTCCCGCATGCCGCACCTGGCTTGCCAACGAGTCCAAGCATGGTGATGCACATCTGTAATCCTAGCACTGGAGAGGCTGAAAACAGGAGCATCAGTACCAATCTGAGCTGTGTAGTGAGACCCTGTACCAAATACATAAATGAAAAATAAATAAATAAAAATATATTTGGGGAGCTGGAGGGGAGGGGTATAGCTCAGCAGCACAGCACCTATGTGGTAAATACAGGTCCTGAGTTTGATTTCTAGTACCAAAAAAAAGTAAAATATATTTTTAAATTTCTTTTAGCTTTCAGCAACCCTGTGAGACAGCTGTTACCGCTCCATGGAAGAAGGAGCTAACTAGAACGTGTCAGAGTTGGATGCTGAACCTAGACCACAGCTCTTCCCTGCCTCAAGACCAAGTCCGTGGTGCTCACGAGTTCAGATCAACGCCCAGGTCTTACAATGGCGCATAAGCTAAAGTGTGTGCTAGCAGTGGACACTCCAGTGATTTAAAGACATTCTGACAAATGAATTCCTTCTCAGGGGAAGAAAAGAAATGAAAATCCTCCGAGAAAGTCCTGATAACAGAAGCGGCCCTCTCTTTTTTTCATGAGGCCATTCTTGCAGCCCGTAACGTCCCCACTCCTTGGGTGGAGTTGCTGCATGCACACAGCGCGCCCTAATTCCTGCTTTCAGCCCTCATTCCTTCCCCCTTCATCCCCTTCTTCCCCTACTTCCTGCTGGCTACCTTGTATTTTGCCCCTTATTTATCTCTGGGTTCTGAGCTTCCAGCCAGCCAGTCCTCTCCGGGGGCGCTGCCAGCCCAGACCCACGCAGCCCGAGCTGGGGATCCCGGTGCCCCCGCCCTCACCGAGCAGCCCGAGCCGCCCATCGCCCTGCACTGATGGAGCGAGTCAGGCAAGCCACCGAAGCCCTCAGAAAGTTGGCTCGGGCGGCAGAAAGATGACTTGCAGATGAGCAAGGAGGGCGTCTGAGACTGCTGCTGCTCAAAGACAGAAATCTGTGCAGGAATTGGTCACTCAAGGCCTTGTGCCTGGCCGACTTCACACGTGTGAGGAAGCTGGGCTGAATCAGAGCTGGGGGTCATTTCGTCACACGTTCCTCGCTCAGTAGCCGGGTGAGGAAATAAGAGAAAGCAATTCTTTGTCAGCATTCCCCATTTTCTTTTCACCACACAGAAAAATATTGAATACACACCACTTCTGGGAGGTTCCTGCACCCTGCTCTGTGGGCAGGACAGCAGGCCACCAGCGCTTCGCCCCCAGTGGAGGGAAGCACTGGGACTGTGACCCAGCCTGGCCTCTCTCAGAAGCAGTCCTGGAAGTCAGACTTCGAGGACCAGCACACGTGGCCAGGTAATGCCGGGAAGTTCCCACAGAGCAATGGAGAGCAAGGTCACAGGAGGCCCTGATGTGGGCGGGCAAGGTCGCGGGAGGCCC